ATTTTGTATTGGCGTTTCAAAATTCGCAAACAATAGCGTCAGCGTCGACCTATGTCCTTTCTATCGTTAGTGCCAACAGCACCAGACTGACTAAGAAACTGGTGGAGAAAGTTGCGACACCAAAACGGCGCCGTTGTAGCGCCCAATGGCGTCATAGCGAATTCAAATGACGTTTACGCTAAAAACTAATAGAATATTCGTAATCAGGACGCCGAATAACCCCTAGCCCGAAAGTTTCAGGGAAAATTAAGATTTCGTCCCAACTTCGAACAGTTGGACCATGGGTCAGTAGCCCGTCAGGCTCATTGGTAGACAATTTGGAGGCGAATTCCTTGTCATCACACTCACGAAATGAAAAATCCTGTCCATTGTTGGCAATGGTATACAGCCAGGCTGGTGATGGCCGAGAGATCACGCAAATGACTATGCCGCTACAAAGGTTCTCCTCCTTCTCGAATAATGGCAAGTTGAGTTCCTGGCCATGCTGCTGGCTGGGCCTAGCCGATAGCTAGATCGGCTTCAAAGAATGCAACGTATTGCCCTGTGGGGAGTACTTCCGTTTCAGTGTTAATCTCTAGGACCTATACCCATTTCTCAGCCCTTCTCGAAGCCATCCGCACCACCATGGAAGTGAGCTGCTAACAACGCTTAAGAAACCATGGCACTTTCCTCAGCACACAGCACGGACAACCGCATCATTTTGTCCGATCTTAGCTTTGTTACCAATCTACGGTAAACGAGATCCTCTTGATATGACACTGGTCAACGCTGTGTGCGATGTACGTCACAACAAAGCGGTTAGAACGGCAGTTCCTTAAGAATTTTTTCTTCGCTCCTTTTTTGGTATTCAGAGGGCCGCTCAGGAAAAATGAACTACAGTTCTGTGTTCCATGCATGTACCCCTATATCATGCAAAAAACCGTTTTCGAGAAAGCTGGGCATTTCCTGGAAAGACCTTCCCTGGTAAGGGGTTTCACAGAATAATGGCTCCAATAACGTCATCCAAACGCTCCGCCCTTCAGTCGCGGTCTTTGCCTCCAAGAACTTCCTTTAGCAAACCTCAGAAAGAAACTTCAGAAAAGGGAATCTCAATCGTCCAGGAATTGCATTCTCCTCCTGACAGACGCACTGGCTGCAAAGGAGCGTTTCAGGACCAAATTTTTTTGGTGATTGCGATAGCTGTTTTTGTAGGCAATATAGAAGAATCGAATTTGGATTGGCATTCAATAAGTGCGTATAGGGCAGATTGCGGATTCTGAGTAGCGACTTTTGAAGCAAGGTTCCAATGGAATTTTCAAATTTGCTGTGGGAATGGATATCATAACGCTTGGAAGACAGCCTTCTGTGAGGAAGACATTCAAAACATTCATAGACACGTCAGTTATGAAATGCGAACCTCGCAGTCGCTTTCCATTCGTTTTCTGTACATGACGTTGGCCGCATGCATCATCGTAGCAATATTGGGGCCGTTTTGAAAGCGCTTCGTTACCTGAAACTTTCACGCCGTATATTTTCACATATTTCGAGATGTCCTAAGGTATTGTAAGGTATCACAGTTTGATGAGAAGGTAATCACAGCCGTGTATAATCCGGGAATGGGTAGACCGACAGGAACTACACTTTCTGATAAGTTTCACTGGTCAATTCATCAGCAAAAGGTTTTTGTTGGCGGTCGCATCATAAATCAGCATGGAAACCCTTCTTTTTAGCAGACACAAGTATCCTTACTATATTATAAAGCGCTAACTTTGTGTGTCGGTTTGTGTATCTGTATGTGTGTGTGTGTGTGTGTGTGTGTGTGTGTATGTATGTGTGTCCGTCCGCAAAATGAAGTGAGTGAGAAGGAAGCTCATGGGATAAACAAACCGCTAACAAATCGGGTAGCTTACAGGATTTGAGATATCAATGTTTTGTAGCAGGATAGTTGTGATAACACTCTTAGGGCTATATAAACACCTGCTTAGCACACTTCCGTTCATTCCACATGGTGCTGCAGTGGCAGCTGGAGGGCAGTGGAGAGAGGAAGGGAGGATGAGGAAGGGAAGCGAAAAATCTACCGTCATATCATGATTGTGTCCCTTCTACTGTTTGAAACACCATTGTGTTGCATACGCGTCACTTCCAGGAGGTGTTGGTGTCACAGGAGGAAGGGACCATAGCGGAGGATAGAAAGCTTGCGCAGGAAAGGAAGGTCCCGGCGGTTGACGGGGGACTAATCTGGTTATAATATAAAGATAAGATTCGTGTCGTGCTCACGTCCAATAAATGATCCCTTCAGTCAAGGGAAGCGTCTAAATAAATCACAGGAGCACTGAAATTTTCTACAGAACTCTGAGAAGCTCTTGCCAGCCGGGCTGCTCCGATATCATCCGCTTTCGGGGTGCGGCACCTGAAGCCATGATCAATGGTTACTCCTATAACCGAAGTAAGGCGAAGGCTGTAACGTTTTTCCAAGGCCTACAGAAACGTCACGGTTCAGAGAACGCCTTCAGAATGCCTGGATACACTCCAGACTGTCCAACGTGGTGAGCGCTCTCCAGAAGCCTTCAACTGCTTCTCTCTGGCTGCTTCAAGAAATGACATGGTGCTCTTTTTGTTATTAAGCTCATGATATCTTTCTTGTCTTCTATTCGCCTTTTTACCAGTTGGTCAGCATGGAGTCTGTTTCATGCTTGGTAGCGACAATTGCGGTACCGCTGTCTATAGGCTTACATGGCTATAGTCAGGGTCAGTTGTGCGATTCGAATTTTCCTCAGGGGTCTTGATACCACCCTTTGCCTGCCACACATGTATTACTGTATATTTATGCGTTTGTGTTCAAACAAAACGGTTCCACAATGCTATGCTAGCGCGTGCGCCACACGCTTTGCGTTGCAGGAAACATACACCATTATTCCAGCCATCTCTACCCTCATTGGTTAATGAAGTGGATGTTAATCAGCACTTGTTCACGTACTTCTTCTTCAGAAAGGCAACGGGACATTCATAGAATTGAGCTCATTTGAGAGTATCGAACTGCTGCAATAAATTGTTTGTAAGGAATTCATGTTAAACGTTTCTCAGTATCGAGTTTTACCAGGTTATTCTCGAGTAAACATGCGTTTTTCAAACGTTTGGACTGGTATACACACCGCCAATGTTCCGTCATAATGGAGGCGACGGAAAAATAAAGGAAGATTCATGATAGTGCTTTATAATCATCAGTTTGGCTCTACAAGCTTAGAGCGAAGCGGTGCTAGATGCGTTAAAAAGTAGTGAAGAAGGCTGTGACACTGGAAGGCCCGCACCTTAAGTGATGTCACGCTTTTTCACCGATTTATCTCAATCAAATTCTGTTTGTAAGGGTTGCTTGAAGGTCCTTAATTCCGTGGTTCTATGCTATGCTATGCCTTCTAACTATGCAAGCCAGTTTTTGAGCAGCTGCATCCTGAAAGTCTACGACGAGTAAGTGCTCAATTAGCTGCGTATCCCATTTGCCCTTCCCCAGGCTTCCGGTAACATTTTAAGATTTTTTTGGAATCAGGGTTCCGCCTCCACCCACCTCGGTGCACAATAGCCTTCTTTGGTAACCTTCACTTCTTCACCAGCTTCCAGGCAGTCCTCAGAGACCGGGTTACCGTTCGGTGGAAACTTATACGTGCCCGCCTCACCCACCAGCGGCAAGGTTGACGTCTTCTGCTTTGATAGGCTTATACACACATTTATTTCACACTGATTTTGAGTCATGACCGAGATTATACATTGAGGTGTTCACTGTGCCGCACTTTGGACCGTTCGCCACCACACCCCTTCTCTCCTTGAATAATCTCATTCCATTTTTCCCGGTTTCTGAATGTATGAGGATTTGTGATTAACAATCTCAAAATATTAGGTCGGTCCACAATTTTTGAGAACCTTTGGTGTTTTTCGATTTATTACTTATCTTATTTCTCTGATCTACTTATCCAGCATAGTATACATCATTATTATTAACAACATATCGCCAATGCGAGGGTGGGTATTCAGTGCCTCTCTTGTGGACTTTCATAGAGTTCTGATCGAAGGAAAATTGTAGTCCCGAATCAGTTCTCAACCCAATCCGACATCATCAAGTTCCTGTAGGTTTCCTATAGTTCCTTCGGATGACCATCTATAATACTCATTGGTGATGTGGACTGGGTGCTAACAAATCCACGAGCCGCAGTAGATTTGCTCAAACGATTCGGGAGTTCTGACAGTACAAACCCAACTCCCTCTGAATTCGAACTTCCTGAGTCGTTGGCGCAATACGGGAGGGCCTTTGCGCTGAAGACCGGCATCAACTAATACCAGTGTCAGTGATGGGAAGAATCGTTGACAGCTTGATGGCAACGCCTTCAACTTGAAAGCAAAGGAAGACAAAATCTATTTTTTTCTGAGGTCGTTCGAGCCCGCCTTGCTAAGAAAATTCCTAAAAAATTGGAGACTCTCGGGCGGTCAGTTCTTTTAGCTCCGCCTTGTAGCACTAATCCTGCGTCAACGAACGACTATCCGCTCTCCTCTCTCAATCACCTTCTGGAGAAGAAATCTCACTTGAATCACCATAAAGTCAAAATCGACATCCAATATTTCTTCGATCAGAACTCTATGAAATTCTACAAGAGAGACACTGAATACCCACCCTCGCATTGGTTATATGTTGGTAATAATGGTGATGTATACTATGCTGAATAAGTACATCAGAGAAATAAGATAAGTAATTGAATCGAAAAACACCAAAGGTTCTCAAAATTATGGACGGATCTAAATACACCCGAAGGCTTCTCGTTACTTCCAAACCTCGGGTGTTTCATCATCGTGGTGATGGGAATGACTGATGCTCACTCGAGGTGTACCGAGTTGGAAGAAGCCCATGTTCAGGTATCTGAAGTTCAAAGTTTAAGCGTTCACGTCACTGAAGGTAATCCGTGAATGGAATCGTATGACCTTGTAGAAGTTCCAAATAGGCAGCTCCGTAACAGTGAACCGCAAACAGTCATGCAGGAGTGATCTGGGTGAAAATCATAGGAAACATTTGTCTTCGGAAACTGAATTCTCTTTGTCAGCAATAGTAGGCGCATCGTGACGAAAGATGGATATTCGTGAATATTCGCTATTTAGCAGCTGACTTGATACGTTTCGTCAGTCATTGGGACTTGAATTCAGCAGAGGTGTCGAAGAACGTGATACCGAAGTGAATCCAAGCCATTAGCAACCCTCCTAAAAGGGGAAGAATCCATGAAGAGGAAATTCAATCACCAATCACAACTACTCCAGAAACGGTGATGATAACGATTATTCTCCAAGTAGAACACTTTCTCGTTGCTGCTTCGTACCTGCGGCAGCCAATGGGAGAAATCGCTTTGTAGCTCGGCAATCGCGATCCGACAAGGCCAGAAGTCGTCGCATAGACAAGTATTGTAGCCACTGAGAAGCCTGCCAACGCAGAAATTTCTTTGACACACAGGAAAATGCCTGATTTGATGAACACTCGACCGGGTGCATGTCACTAGAATCGTCGGAAGCATCGCTACTGGTCGTGGGTCGCGTTCGTGCCACGCAGAGGAGAGTTTCTGAGAGCAGACATTGATTATGGTAAAGGGGCAAAGGTCGACCATCCCCGTTTTTCACTCAAGTTTCAATTGCTCGGATAATTTAATTCTCTTGGCATCTTCTTTCAGTTTTTTTTTTCAATTGTTATGATAATAACGTGGTAACAAACGTTGTTCGCCCTTTTATGGAAGAGTGAAGGTAGTGACGTTTCAAATTTGTTTTAGATATCCGGTTCCTCTTAGTTATTAGTGGGCTCCGATGCGTCAATTAAAAATTGCCGCGCCCTTCGGAAAGGTGCCGCGTTGCGACATCGCATAAGCGGCCGCGCGCGCAGTGATGCCACTCTCGGACGATTCTGTTGACCGCTTCCCACTTGAACCATTGCCAACCTGAATTGTAGCATAGCAAATGGTTGCAATAACTGCATCATTCGTAGTAGTGAACCCATCCTTCCGCTGAAATTCCACTTCCAACTGATTGCAAGATCTGGAAATAACTTCCTTCATTGTGAAAGTATGTATGTGTTTACTTCCGTGGAGATTTGAAATGGGCTCCAGTCTGCTCACAAACTTGACAATGAATGACGCGCAGCAACAAAAACAAGAATAGAAATATCATCCTCTAGCATGAGCTTTGTGTGTGGCATAAGCCTGTCGTTACTCAGACTTCTAGCGAACATGTACAGCTAAAACAGGAGCAGGTTGAACAGGATGATCAAAATGAGGAACAACAGAACTCACAACAGTGAAAAGGATGAGTTGAAGGATGTCGGCAACAAGTGAGACGTAATCGTTCGTAAGCCAGTGAATTTCCATTAGGTGATCAAAATCTGTGAAATAGTGAAATCGCGGCCTTAGGCTGCTTTGGTAATCTTCTATAGCCTCAGGATTCGTGCCCAGTGCTACCAAAAATTCCAAATTTTGTTCTCCTATTGTTCCGATACAAACCATTCAAACACCGAACGCGACGGAATGGTCTTCACAGTGCGCCTCACGATGAGATACAGGAAACGGTCCTTGTGTTAGGTTGGTAAATAAGTTTTGCAGTGCATTTCACAACCGAGCTATTGTACGCTTCTTGGTCACCTTTTTGATGCCGCAGTTTGACAGAGCTCGAGGTTTTTCCAGTCCATCAGACGCAAATCGTTGTTCCGAAATCTCTCTTTTTACAAGTATGCTACGAGACCGTCCCAAAAAACCGCATTTTCCGCCTAGCGGGCAAGTTACCCTACCGGAGCGCCGTTCCACCCTAACTCTGTTGTTGATCTTGAACGATTTTGAAAATTGTTAGCTGTACGCGCGTGGGTCGGACGGTGATCAAATTTTTGAATCCAGAGATCCGCTACGTAGCGATATCTTGTATGCAAATCGCGAATCGCTTTCGGCGGCCCGACCATTAGGGCAAAACCGTGATCGTAGCGTACTTGTGGCCCTTCTTTCTTCGAGTAACAGCTGATGTCGGTCGCGCATCCTCGCGGTAATTTGGTGCGAATCGGACTCATGCAATCATCGGGAACGCGGAAATCCAGCAGGAGAAGAGGAATCCAATCGTTTTGCTTCTTAAGCGTTCTCTTCGTTTTCTCTACAACACAACACCGTTATTGACCAGCGTTGATAGTCTTTGCGCATGTGGTAATGTTTATTGTAAATCGCGTTTCACTCCCTCAGGAGACCCGCTTTTGCCGCCTCCAAGACTTGCCGTCTCTCGAAGTAGAAATGCAGATATGGGCGATGTGGGGTGACCATTTCCAAGATTACACCTCCTAGCTGCTGTTCATAATAGCACCATTCTTTTAAAGGGGGCAGGAAAGAAATTGTAAGCAAAGCATCAGTGAAATTATTATAATCGAAAAAAAAAAAATCTGCTCACCTATTGTCCAATAAAAGTACACCAGCCATCTCACTGTACAAGCGATAGAGGAGACTGGCACAGCAATCCAGAAAAACCATAGCAAAGACTTCCTGAGGATATCAAGTTTATAAAAAGTCTTCAGTTGGATTCTTGTTAGCTGTGAAACATATTATGAGTACGGTCTCACTTAATAACAAGAGGTGGAGCATTATCCGCAGAGTTTGCGGTGTCACTCGGAGAAATGTCTTCAAAACTCGCTTACTTAGTGGCTCGAACCCCTTGACGCATCTGAAAATGAAGGTATTAGAGCAACAACCTCGACACAGGACGACGCTTTTCTGTGCTCAGTTTAGATTCTTCGACTCTGCGATGCTTCTGCGCAAAGTAGGTCACGAGTATCATAGATGTGCCGCTGTAGCGTCTTGAAAGTCGCGCTTTGGAAAGTGAACTTGTGGCGACTGATGTCAACTTATGGACGAGACACCTCGTGCACAGCCCATGATACGCAACGTGGATTACGATGTGGTGGGTAACTCAAACACGCCCGGGTCAGTGGAGTAATGGAGGACAAATAGAGGATTTCGTTCGGCCCCGCTCCTTCCTCATTTCATGAAGGAAAAGGGTGTCCTTTGCTTCTTTCCCGTTTCAGTCAACTCTACATCCACAGCATCAATATTAAGACCCCACAAGTTTGAACTGGGGTGTTGCTTCAAATCGGTGGCAAGGTCCGATCAATGCACAGTATACTTTTGCATAATTTTTGAAACTATACATACCCTTCAAAACACATAATCAGAACTCGCTTTTTGTAAGTCATTGTGGTTATGAGATGTTTCTGTAAACGGAACGAAACCTTCTGCGAAGCGGAACCATTTTGTAATATCCTCTACATATCTACACATGACAACCGTGTTCCGCATTAACCTTTTGCTCCTGGGACCACGCCTCTTTTCAGCGCGCGCAGCTCTCGCTCACAATTGCGCACAAATTGGGCAAAATTGTCCCTTAAAGTAGTTTTTCTATAGAATTCTTGACTTTAACGGTATGCCGGGTACAGTTCTAGGCTTTCATACTGTTCTTTGTTTTCAAAAGAATTCCAAATTTGGAAAGGGAACAAGGGTCTTAAAGGGAAGGAGGCCAAAACATTGAAAGTTTATAAGTGCTCAAGAGAATTTTCGATACACTTCAAACCCTCTTCCCATATCTGAAGGCTATGAGAAGACGAAGAAGTCCTGATTAGTAATTAATCTTCAGCCTAATAATGCAAAACCCCAATTAATATGCTGGCGAGCTAAATGGCACATTCTAAAATTCTATATAAATTAGTTCTTAATAAACATTCCTCTGTAAACCGTGCTAGTAATGGATATTATGGAACTTGCCAATGATTATTGGGGTGCTAGAAATGTTTTAGATGCACAAAGAAGGACATTTCAAAGTGGCACCCATCACTGTGTGGCCATTGTCGTTAAAGGCGTCAAAGGCGTATCACTTCGTATAACTGCAGCTCAATATTAAAGGAAGTGGTCACGATAATTTTCATGGGAACGATAAGGGAAAGCTATGTATTGGAGTGGATAGAGGTCCTGCCCAGTGTTACAACACGTGAAGTTTCAGTGGCAGTGGCGCCTTATCAACGGAGTGATAAGGCGCCGAAATCCACTTCCGTTCAGCAAAAACCAAAGACTTATCGATGTGGAAAGGGGTGCGATAAGAGCGTGCTAGATATGATACCGTTATCGTTATCGTCCCGTTTTCATTCTGGAGTGCACCTCTTATCAAGCAGCCGCACCTTCTTATCTCATCGTATCATATCTTCCATGGGCTTACACTCGTCCAACAATTACTGCCTCACACCTTATCGATTGATAACGCGAGGGTAGCAAATCCAGCGTGGAAGCCAGCGTGACCGCTTCCTTTAAAGTACTCTAGTCGAATAAGATGCCTTGCTAGAAGACTACTCGGACGCTATGCGCTTGGCAATGGGAGAAACCTATGACGCAAGGTTTTGTCCTCGTGCCACTTGCGATATTGAGAGTCCCATGCGATTTCTAACGCTAAACAAATGCCTATCCTGCGCAATGCCTCTCCTATGCAGCACAGTTTTGAAAATTCACACTGATTAACTTGACCTGCCGGCGTCGCTCGATGTCTTCTGCTTTTTCTTCGGCTCCTCCACAAGCTAGCCAGTGTGCAACCAACAGAACAGGGAAGAACTCCGATGCACAAGAAATGATTGAACTCGACAATATGCCCTTATTGATGTAATACCTTAACGAAATATTAAGTTAGTTTCCATCAGAAATCGCAGGCCCACTCAGCCTCCCGCTCGAATTTTTGTCAATTTAAAGCAAAACGGACCACATTTTCTGTGTACCGTGCAGGTCATCACTTGGGGAACAGTCGTAATTTCGTCGTATTGCTGGACACCAATAACTCTCCAGTTCCTTTCTTTGGCACAATTCCTTGAATATGTGAAGTTCATGGCCAAATCATAAGAAGAAGAACAGGTGAGAAGACAATGGTGTTCACATAGGGCAAATACCTGGTGACTTAGATAGCCTTTGTAGACGACCACTTTGATCCAAACGACTGAAAATGTGATGTTGATGAATAACCGACCGATCTAAAAAGACGCTATTTATGCTAGCCTTCCAAACACTCCTAGTCGTAGCTCCACAAATACGAGCCATTCATACTTATAGTCTGTGATAACAATAGATTACCCCATAATTAGTAACACTTTGGCTATTTTTCGATTTCTTATTTCTGTTATTTATATGAAGCGTCTGCTCATTTTAAATACACCTCTACTAAAAAAATAGCCTAGGCATGGTAAGCGCCAACGCCGTATCTTTCCTTTTGAATTCAATGGGCTTCTGATTACAGAAAGTCGGATGTTGGTTTTGAGATCATGACCTATAGCGTGAACTTCATTCTTGAGAGGGAGCCCTAGATCAGCGTAGGTGATCTTTTGTTGGCGCGTGGTTAGGGCCGCAGAAAAGAACTGTAAACCCTAGAATTTTCCAATTGCTCATGAATTTATTGCGTGAGCTTGGGTTGAACGCCTTCAGAAAATAGCACATTTTCCTTGTTTTGTTTTCAACTGGAACGCGTCACCATCGAGCCGTCGCCTTCATCGCTCATCTGGCATTATTTTGTG